GCCCGTTCTGTCTAGTAAATGAATTATTTGTGTAATTGGTAATATTTGACTTATGTGTAATTTAAAAAAAAACGATATTAAGATTTAAAAAAAATCATCATTCTTTGTGGAATCATCTTCTCTAATTATCTTTAGAGGCCATTAAGGCCTATGGCTGCCAAACCAATTTCTTTCTATTTCTTATGTGTTTCTTGTTTTTTTTCACAGTATTTGTCTATTCATAGTTGTTTTAATTTTTTTGTACTTTAGTCAATTAATGTCTGCTTTAATATACCAATTCGTATACTATCTAAAGTCATCATTAAAATACTATTTTTTAACCATATTGGAGTGATTTTTCGTTTTGTTATCTGTGTTTTAGTGTTTGTTTGCTAATATTATAAAATAAGTATTTTAAGTTTTTGGGAAACGCAGGTCAATTATTTAAAATCAAAGACAATATAAAATTTTTGTCATGAGGACAGTAAACAAAACTGATTTTGAAACATATACTTTTTGAAAATCCCAAAACAAAACAGAAATTAAACATAGATAAAAAAAATAAAAACACAACGCTGTTAATCCAAATAAAAATTAGTCGTTTAAAACATTTAATTCGGACTCACTATAAATACACCTTTTTTAAATTAAAAAGAATGTATAAATATAATTTATCATAAAAAAATGATATACATTTAATTAAGGTTTAATTTTTTACCGTTACTTAATCAATAGCTTTGATTCCCAACCAAATATTTTATTAGTACAATAGACTAGTCTATTGTATTAATAAAATGACTAATTCAAGTATTGTAATTTTTAGTGTATTTATGAGTATGTAGATTTAATTTTAACTATATATATCTTTCATACCTAGATTGATTCAGTTATATAGTACTAAGGATCAATGTAAAAACTTTTTGCAGATACCTTCTTATATTTGAAGTAAAAAAAATTCTTTTAATTGCTTTTCATCTACTTTTAGGAAGCTCTAAACAACTGTGTTGTTGCATTGACCTTTTATAATATTATAGTTTTTATTTACATCAAGATATAATATGAAGGTACATTTATTAACTGGAATGGGGGGGACCAATAACACTATTATGATAACATAACTAATAACATTATATGTTTTTATAAGTGTCAGAGAATGGGTTCTAGAGGTTTAAATATTTTTTTATTGCATTCAATAAATCATTACAAGCGGTCGGTTAATTTTTTCGGAGGCTTTGCTTTCATTTAAATATACCTGGTCCAGACGATTTTTTTTATATGTTGACATCGTGATTATCATTCAATGAGCTATAATAATTTTTCTCTATTTTAAACATCGCACGTTTTTTTTAATTATCTCTACATATAACTTATATGAGTAAAATTACTATTAAATGTAAAACTTATAGTTGAAAATGCAATTATACAATTTATAGATAGAAAAATTATTTTTTAAGATAAATGAATTTTATTAAAAATATTAATAAACATTTTACCAATCACTTAGATAATGTCATATAAATGACTCTATTAATCTCCAACAAACATGAAATGAAGCTGTGTATTAAATTTTTATTAGTTACAGTAGTATCTAAAATTATGTTAGAACTGCTGGTCAGCATATGCATTGCTAAAATACAATAGAAGTTCTAAATTAAATTTCTTTCATTCTTATATATGATATTTCATATATTTTTTTAAACTTTACATAGTTAAAAAATATGTCATAGTTAGAGCCATATTCATTAAGCACTAAAGGCGCTATTCCTATAGTGAAATAAAATTTGTAATGAATTTATTTTAAAGACATTTTATTTATTTGCCGTCGCTAATAATACAAAAAAATTTTAAACCAGCCAATAGCTTAAATACTACAAATAGCTTTAATTTCAACGGAAATTATGAAAATTTCGATTGGAGAAGGTAGTATCAATTTTTCTTATTTAATGATATTATGAAATTGTATTTTTATTCATCTTGATTAATTTGGTCAGATGATCTTGTTCTTCGCTAAACATGTGTGAAATAGGCAAGAAATCAATATTAATTTTAACAATAATTAATTATTTGCCTGGAAAATTCATTGCTATTATATGAAAATAAAATACAAGAGAAAAATATTTCAAAATAATTTTATATTTAAATTGTTTAATAATAACGATATAAGAAATTATTTAAATTTCTGTTATCACCTTAATACTTTTTTTATTTATATAAACTTAATTATGTCCGTGTGATAGGAAAACTAACTAACATCCAAATTCATAGGCATAATTTGGGAGAGTTCAGTCCCTCCAAAAATTTCATAAAAGCTATAAATGATATAGTTTGTAAACATATATACAAAAAAATTGTTTTTAAGTTCAGATACAAATAAACATTATCTAATCAAAAGTTAGTTATCAAAAAAAATTAATTTTTTTTAATTTTATCGAATCAAAAGTTAAGTACAAAGTCATTAAATTTGTACAGTTTCAAAAATATAAATATAGATACTTCGATTGTGTAATATTTAATTGCATACCTCGAAATAGATCACAAATAAAAATATTAAAACACACATATTTATAATAGTAAAAATGTAACATAATTTTAAATAGAAAAAACAATAGGTTAGAACTACTATAATAAATGAACTAAAAAAGTTAAATTTTCAGAAATTATTTCAAGTCTATCATTAATTTTTCTAAGTAGCATTACAGTTTAGGCCCATGAGGATTCCACTATTAATTTTTATTTCATATTGAATGTGATTTAATCTTAGCTTACATGCTAATCAGCTTGCTTATATTGAATCTAAATTGGTTCATTTAAAAATATTGTTATTCGGTAGTTCTTATGTTTATAGTTTGTTCGTGCCTTCCAAATTATAGCGTCGCCGTTCCAAATTATTGTTATTATTTATGTTTATCGACCTCTCTAAAAGCTATTGCTTGTGATAGAAAAAGTGAAAAAACGTACTTAGCTTAAAGTAATGGAATCTAACTTTAATACCAACGCGCACGTTGCGTTACCGACTAGACGTAGTTGGCTGTCTGAACAAATCCTGTGTAACCAATTAATGAGATTTTAAAATTTATTTTCGACTTAATAAATGTGTTTAATTCTTAACTAGCTGTAGACGAACATATTAAATGTGCGGAACTACTTAATGATACTTTTTATTTTTCACCCTTACGGTTGAAAAACCATCTAATAAGGGAAAATGATTATTGTGGTTGTATCAATAATAGGAGGCGGCTGGGTATATGCTACGGAGGAGTAGTTGACAATAATGGTAATAACAAATAAACGGGTCGGCAGCTACGGTGTAATTCGAACACACCTGCCAGTTAGTGTTTTGTCGGAGGTGGTATACACGCGAAAAACGTGACAGGGCCTAAATCCCAAGACAGTACGGAATTTTTGAGATCGGCTCCACATTCAACGGACGATTAGACATTAACATGCAGTCGTTGGGCACTATTGGAATATATAAATAATAAACGGATAGGAAAAAGAGAGAGAATGTAAAAAAAGGAATGAAATCATCTTGTACTAGTGTTATTATTTATCTTTCCTTCAGAAATGTGTTCGGGGAAGGTCACTCACTACTCGACAGCGGCGGCGGCGGCAGCGGCAATAGCCAGTTTTACACAAAATACCTCACGACACACACAATAGTCGTCTGATATGTTTTTTATTACCGCTGTTCACCACTGTGTTATACGAGAATATGTGATTTTATAATTTCACAGAAATGAAATATTATCATTTTATCAAAAAATCGACACGACAACGACCTAACTCGTCCATCACCTTATAACGGTGAATAACAACATGTTCACTGTTCCAATATGATAAGGTTTTTTTTAGTAGTTCTTTGGCTCTTATTGGACGCCTCTGGCTGACGATTACTCAGCTGTAGTGAGCATATTTTTAGGATTTTTTTTTTTATATTATTTTAATTGAATTGTACAGTGACACTCGGTAGTGGTGACGTTCTATTCAATAATAATGAAATTCGTATATTTTTTATGAAACACATTTTGAATGTATCGGTCTTGTAGAGAATGCTATTAATGGACGTTGCCTTCCGTGGATTAATCATTGTAGTATTTTACAATTTTACATAATATAATAAAAAAACCAACTTGGTCTGTTGGATGATTGGACATTAAAATAATGACACTGGAATGATCGATGAACTCTACGGACCAACCTGTTTCATGGGCACCCAATAATAATAACATTAATAATGTATAAAATAAAATTGTCTTGCTTTTGGGCCCATGCCAATTTTAATAATATTATTATGTATTGCTCGGGCGGCGTTTTTTTTTATCTTTTTACCTACGCACAAAAACATCATAAGAGCTTATTAAATATTCTTACGTACAGGCTATTGGCATTCATTACGAAATGTGGACAACATTCGTATAATATGTATATTAATATTTTACTACTAATTTTAAAATAGGAAAAAAATTCATTTTTTCATTAACTGTTGTTACTTTTGTCGTTCGTATATGGAATCATTCTAGTCGGTGTTTTTTGATTCTAAAGAAAATAAATCCCAGTTTGAAGTGCTCGCGGTTTTTTATATTGCAAAACAGTTGGTCCACTCGACACGTCTAGACTTTTTTGCATCAATATTGTATTCTCTTTAACTCACTGGTCCGTTTTATTACGGCCTCTCTGGTTAGTTGGTATTGACGTCATGTTCTTGATAATATATTTTCAGCAGAGTAAATAATAAAACACTCGTGAGGCACTCGACTGCTCGGTGGCATTTGAAGATAATTACGAGGTGCACATGTCGCATTTGCACACACACACAGACAAACGACTTGAGTCCGGTGTCGGCGCCGTTATTATTTTACATATTACGCAAAAATGGATATTGACTATCGACTACTGTATAGTTGGTTTAGATCATAAAAATAATAATTTATCGTTTTTGGCTACTATGCGCTCGCATAAACCGACAAGAAAAATATCTATATGATTATATTATCAGATCTCTTACCCGTTTAACCATATAATCCAAACGAATTCTTGTAAAGTCATGGCAAAAAAATGATGCGAAAATTGCTCGTGCGCTCTTTAATAGGCAATTACATCGGTGGTCATAAAAGTGTAATATTTACTATAGCGTCTTCTGTCAAGTGGACCAAGACCATAAATTGAATTTCAAAATTAATTGATTCATTTTTGATTACATTTGTTACATGAAAGTATACTCGAATGTCTAGATAAGTGCAAGTTTTAAAAATATATATTTTTTCAATTAAATAACTTTTTTGTACGTTCATGATAATAAAAATTAATTAACACTCTTGTCAGTAATCATTTTTAACGGAAATTTTATTGCTTGTTTCAGGTGTCATCGACATCTTATGTGGCCAAATACTCTGTCCTCTGGGTAAGTGTTGCGAATCATTAAATAAATCTCAGATTTACTAATTGAAAATGTATTTTCATATCACATTACCATGTTCACCGTTTTTTTTAACTATTGTAGAGTAAATTGTTATGCACTTAAATACATAACAAATTAATATAATGGATTACATAATTACTCACGTTCCAACAAACTACTAATGTTTGATGCGTTAACCACTTGCACTATTCTTGTGCTCTTAAAAAAAAACGTAGGTCATTGTAGTTGTCATGTTGTATTGGTTATAATTTTTATTGGTGTTAACTGTAATGAAAACAATAAAGTAACATTTTATATAATAAATAGCTGTATGAAAGCGTGAGCTTCGTTAATATGTAAAATTAGTTTGTTTTTGTATGTAATAACGAAATATACACGCTTAACATGATGATATTATTATTGTATTGTGTAAATTACTTTACATAATTATCAAACCGAGTGTGTGCGCTCATATGATTGCGTAAAATGTCTTGGACAGTTTCTTTAGCTTTTTTTTAATAACTAATATAAAAATGACAACCGGATATTATAAATTCATTTTATTATTAATATTATTTTTTTTAACAATGTGTATCCAAATAATAATAATAATAATAATAAAAAAACCGGATCCTTTACATTTAATAAATATGACAGCAATGGTGGTGAATTCCAAATTTCGTTTGAAAGGAGACATCGCCACGCAGTCTGAGATGAGCTGTAAAAAAATAGTATTAAAAAAAAATATATATATATATATATACGTACAATAATAAAATACACAGTTCATGCATTGAAGGAATCCTGCCGTAGGTTTTACCCCAGCTGACATTTTCACCACTGTTACATTATATTCGTTTTTAATAAAGGTATTTCACATTGTGTGTGTTTACGGTTTCTTTTGTTATTGACATTTTAGGCAGGCCCTAGATAACCTAAAATTGCCGCCAACAGGATCTTGCAAAAGGTACTAGAAGATCTACTAATACCGAATGCCTAATAGAAATGCCGTTATAATATTAAAAATAATTGGAAAACAACAATAATTTTTTTACAAGAAAAATTATTTCACACTCGTCGACTCGATTTTCTGTTAATGGTAATTGTTTAACGTTAAATGGGTTTATTTTCTAGTGAAAACTATTGAGATTAACCGACAAACATGCATAAGTATATTAGCCTGAAACGTTAAGGACCGGGAAATAAGACGCGCTATGCACGTTGTGGTGTAGGTTATTCTGTATAAAAACCGCCTCGTGTTTACGATGGTTTGGTAAATGATCAAAGGAAAATACGCCCCTTCCAAAAATAGTTAATAACAATAATAATAATAATAAAAAAACGTATAACAATTTCATCATGTGGTCGAACCTACCCCACGCATACAATATAACATAATAATCATTTACATTTGTAAAACTGTATTCAACGACCGCGGCTACCCTTACCTGAATGAATGTGGTATATACCACATATCCTTAACAATGTGTCCGACGACCTAGACATACGGGCGACAACCAGCTCGTTGTAAACATCTCGTATTCCGTCGACCGTGTTGGTGCACGTTTATCATTTCCACCGTTTATTTTTTTCTAGTATTGGAAATTTAATTATTACGTTTTGTTCGGAACTCTTGGTGCGATTTTTTCAATATTATAAAATCAACGCGTGTAAGTCTTCCGCTTTCACTGTGTTGTCACTGGTGTACTGTTTAATATTGTATGCTTCCGACATCTATAGGTTAGTAAAGAAATAACACATCACACCTAAACATCGTTTAGAAAGTATTTACAACATGGAAATATTTTCGAGATATTGTTTTATTTATTTAATTTTGATCTAATGTTTACTGGGTACGTAAATCGTAATTATTTATCGGTAAAAAAACTTAATAGCAAAATCTTTGTATAAATATATTTTCACTTCAATCTGATACCGATGAAATATTAGAGTAGTGTAAACAAAGTATAACTCAATTATATTAAAATTTATCGTTAGAACCGGTGAAATGTTAAGATGTGCTATGAACGTGTTTATATTATACTAAATATTTAGATTTTAAGGTAAAATAGATTAGTTGAATCAATATAATTGTTCTAGTAGTACATACAATGTTTTAACGATTCTCATATGAGTACTTAATTACTTTTTGTGTGACTTATTGCATATGACCCAAAGTATTAAAATATTAATAATTATACCACTATATTCATGTCCCAATATTTTTATAAAACTTTAATTCATTTTTAAAACTATAACAATTATAGCGAATAAAATAAATATACACTTCTACTATAAAAAAAAAAATTTAGAAGATTTTAAATTATATGTTATATTTATTTATTTGCCAAAACTTGTTTTACATTTTTATAGATACCCTTTATATTTTAGTATAATTCTATTGCACATAACTCATTTATGATTACTTCATAAAAAACTATAAAATTTTTTTATGTTTTGATCATTGTGGCCAATACCTTTTTTTGACCGATGTAGATATTTTACTGTATTATCATATTGTTGATTATTTTCAATTATCTAATAACAAAAAAAAACATTTAGTATATGATGCAGTTAAGTGAAAATTATTTTTACAATAATGTTCATTATATTACTGAGAAAAAACTTATACGCCTAATTTTAAATTTAATAATGAGCCTTACTAATTTTTTTCGATCATGGAGAAAAAAGTCAGACTGCTAAAAAGAACAATTATATGGAAGAAACATTTTCAAACTCCCATAAAGCGAAAATTACGCTAATAATTTAAAGTAGTTTTTGTCAAATATCAATTTGACAAATTTAAAAAAAAAATTTTTTTCTATACGTATATTCTACTGTAAATCGATCTTTTACGAGTTACCATTTTTTTGTAGGTTTTTTAAACTAAAGTGATTTGTTTTGTTTTGAAATTAATAGTAATATTATTAATAGAAAAAAAATAAATAACTCATTTGATTTTGTATACTGTTGTTTGTCACTATTACATATTTATGTTTACAGATGCAACCAGGAGAGCGGGGAGTTAGGTTTCCCTGCTACTGCGTTTGCTAGCACTGCAACACCAGGTTCCATGGGCCCGTACCACTTAAAAGCACCGTACGCTGTCAACAGCATTGGCTTGGCCATGGACTCGTTACAAACATCCATGGGCTGCTATCCTGCAGGTCAGAACTACCACCACTCTACCACTCTGTCCTTATTCAATCACCGTAAGCCATTTTTTTTTTGTTTTGCTAAACAATCATTTTATATATTAATAGATAAAGTTTTCACAAAAATTAGGATTATTATTAATTTTTTTTTTTTTGAATCGACTTCATTTTTAAGCATTTTTATTCATTAAAAGCATCTTTATGCAAATAAATTGATTGAAATAAAAATTGTTGTCAAAGAACACATTTTACTTTTGCAAAAAATTAAACTATAAAAATTATTGACGTATTTGCCTTTTTTCCAATTAACGCACTGCATTTTGCAAGGTTTATGTAAAATTTAAGGTCATATTTGGAAATGGAAATCGTAATTCTTATTCGCCAATTTTCTGTATCCCGTATCATAATTCGACGTTTAATACACATCTATATTTTGTTTTGTAATTTTTTTATTTTTTATTCCGTTTTATATTTCTTCAGGAAATTACATTTGTTGGCTCTTGTTTTGCTGTTTAGTCGACTTTCGCACTGATTCGATTATAAATAATTTCGGTGTAATTTGTCAATAGATTTTCAATATGAAATCAATCGTGCTGGATTAGATTTCTTTAGAGTGGCGTAACCGAATTACTTTAAATGGGCTGTATATTAAAGGGGATGAAGAGCACATCGATAGAAGCTTTTTGACATCTTAACCACATCAAATCCAATAAACACACAAATTATTCACCGTTGTACCCTTTTAACTCGATAGCAAATAAATTACATTATTGAATCAGAGAAGGGACAGGACGAGATCACACCGCTGTTGGCGGATTTCCGTTGGGTTTATCAATTCATTCTGGATGAAGAGATAATATGAATACTCCAATGACTGACCGAGTACGAAGGGGGAGATCTGCACGCGGCCTCACTTGATATTATGTTAAAAATTAACACATGATTGTACAGACATAAGCCAAGGGATGCGTTAATATGATAATGATTATGAAATAGTAAAAATCTATTATATTAGTTGATTCGAAATTTCTACGTAAATCTTATAGAATGCATTTAGATAAAAAAAAACTTTATGACTAAATTTTGTATTATTTTAATAATCACAATGACTATGACCATGAAATATTTTATAAACATTTTTATTTTAAGCTAACGATTTTAATGAAAGCAAATATTGTTGGTCCTAGTGTTATTATGAACTAATTTAAGCGAATTTAATTCACATGTTTATTTTCTTCTACATTTTCATTTTATTTTTTTTAATATTCACATTTCTTTTAATATTTATAGTGGGTAATCCTAGGAAACAAAGGAGAGAACGTACGACGTTTACAAGGACACAACTGGACGTTTTAGAAACGTTATTCGCCAAAACCAGATATCCAGACATATTTATGAGAGAAGAAGTAGCACTGAAAATTAACTTGCCGGAATCCAGAGTACAAGTAAGTCCTGAATAATATCTGTTTACCAGTCAGCAAAATATTAATGCATCAGAGTTGAAAATCTCCTTAATTTTGATTAGTGTCATTTCATCATGTTTAATTCATATATAACCCGAGTTCAACTATTATCCGTGCTGTGGTGTTATTTTAGATAACCAATTCACACGTTGTATAATTTTATATGTGTAGCATAGAGCTTACAATTTTTTTATCTATGATTTGTATACCATTATAACCGGCCATCTGCTTGAATTAAACTTGAGATTATCATGACGCACAAGAGGTTGTAAACATTTTTACTTACAACCTAATACAATTATTTTCCCGGCCGCTTGTACCGTTCTACATTTATTGCTTCAAATGCACAGTAGTGGTTTTATTCGGTTATCCCTTTAGGGCTCCCATTGAGATTGTTTATTCGTATATGTGTAGTACAATAGTTATTTTTTATTGTAGGCAATTTTTCAGCAGTTTTACTATAATTGTGTCCATGGATAATATTAAGCGAAACGTTGATTTGTAACATAATACAGTTTTTATTTATTATTTTTTCCCGAAGAAACACGGGGCGGTACGTATCTATTGTAATATTGTACAATACCCACCGAGTATCGATCAAAACTACATATTATTCAATAACTTAACACAATGAGTTTTCGATATTGCAATGCTGTTGTGAGCTAAGTGTTTTCATACCGCAATACACCGTTTAAATTCGATTATACATATTTGTCAGACCGTAATAACATTATCAAACACTCGTCGAGTGTTGTATACTTGTAGAAGGCTGAAATAGCAATAGATTCATCTTGGCACTAAGGCAAACACACAGAATTATTGTTTATGGAGGTAAATATATGCTTGCGAATATAACAATAGATTTTGAAAAACTTGCTATGATTCAACTACACTCTCAATATATTCTTTATAGTCTGAATAACTTGTACGTTTTTGTGTTGCCTCCTGTTCGGTCAACTACTTCTAAGAATTTATAAAATAAACCTTTTTAATGAAAAGCGATTTAAAATTTGAAATTTTACGCAGTTATTTGTTCGTTTTATTATAATTTTCGGTAGCCAAAGTATATTATAACTAATTATCTATTGTGTTTATTATTTTTTATGACCTGATATAAAATTACAACTTAAGCCATAAGTTGGAACGCATTTCTTTTTTTTCGAATATCAAAAAACGTTAGATTGGATTAACTTATGTAATTTATTGAAGGATTTAAATGTTAATCGGCGAACGTGTCCGTTTTTGTACTCTTTCGTTAGTGGTAGTTTTTGTTGTCTAATATTTTATTGGCGAACACATGCCGGGGGCGATACCGCACAACATAATAGAATAATGCAATGGCGTTAAATGATTTTTCGTGTGCATTAATCCGGTCGATAATTCATAATTTCCGTGACGTTTAAAAACGTTTGAACGTGTTAACGTTGGAGAAAACGCACAAAAGATCATCGGGCGCACCCTGTCTAGGCACCCCGGTAGGAGTATGGTAGCTGCGTGTACTTATCCAATATGTAACTGGGGGAGACGAAAGAGGACGACAATAACAGGGGAGAAAAAAAAACAATAATGGGCGGTGCGAATAACTTTTGGGTTGCAACCCCGTGATAAATGACTTTATCCGCGAACCAATCCCCTGACTCATCCTCCGGATCTTCCCGTCACCGTCACCGTCGCAACCAACCAGCAAACATACACACATACAGAACGCAAACTAACGCAAACTTAACGCACGCATTTATGCCTTACATAACAAACTACCCTGTTAATATTTTACTGTATATTTTCGGGAGTGTAAAACTCCCCTTGTGTTTATAGCGTTCCGCCTTCGGTATGTGTTAGTGGTATGTCTATGCGTCTGTGTGTGTTTGTATTGCGAAATCACTAGCAACTGGGAAACAGCACGCACATTTCTGTTAGCTACGTATACAGCTCTTCCTCTTTAATAATATCAAAACTTTACTATGGTGCTAACTTTAGTGTTTACCGGCCTAAGTTATTGGTATTTTAAGTTACAATATTCATATATCTGTGTAACACAATAATATACAATTTTAATAGTTACAATCGATGAATGTACATTTTTTTTTGTATTACTTATTTACAAATATAGGTATTTTACGAGAAAGTCGGTGTCCGGCATCTTACCCTTTGCAACAATCAAAGAGTATTAGGTATTAAATAAAATCATTAAGTGTTTATTGCAAAAATTAGTGATAAAAATATTACTACTAATGTAGAAATATTTAATATTCCTATACTTTGTTACTTATACTCAAATTAATTAGTTGATAAACCTTTGTACGTATAAATGTTAATACTCAGAGTTATTGATTTTTTAATGATCGTTTCACAAATATTTTAACCATTTTTAGATATGGTCCAAGTATGAATGTTACTAAGTAAAATTTCGTACTAATTTTACTCGATTTCTGCACTTTATATAATTTCTAATTTGATTATCTATTTTATTTTGTTTTTCATTATCTGCTTCAAAATTTAAAACAACGTTGTACCTGTAAGTTGGATTGGGTTTATACATTATTTTCGCCACAATATTATTTTTAAACAATCAAAAGTAGGAGACTGCGCTATTTCTGTGTGTTAAAGTAAAATTTTAATTGATTTGTTATTATATAGCGTTTGAATAAAATAAAGTATCGGCCTGTTCGGTTTTCCCAACATTTTTATTTTATTTAAATATTTGACAGTTGATTTTTAAAATCACATACATTTCAATAGTCATTATTTTCCGATTCTAATATTAATACTACTGTCAGTAGTAATCCATGATCAACTACAATTATTAAATATATTAATGGACGCGAGTAAATCAGTTTATGTTTATTAATTCTTATTTTTCATAAAATTATTTAGTTTTTAATCAACCAAGTATAATTTCAAAAATCTATTTTACATCAAGAGCGTTTGAAGATTTTGGAGATGAAGACTTTTCAAAACTTTTTTTTAAAAATTTAGAGTACTAAAAAATATTAACTTAATTATACTTACTTTACTGATTTTGATGTATATTTTTAATACCTATTTAGTATTTATTTCACAACTCTAATTGAGGATTTTTCAATCTATCTGTCAATAATTTATGTTTTATTTCTGTTGAACGTTGATTCTGTCAAGAATCTCAACATTGTTTGTAACGCTATTTTATGGTAAAGTTTAAAAATAAAACTTTACCGACTTCTAAAAATCTGTAACTGTAAGTATGGTATCTTATCCTATACTTACTACATAAAGCGTTTTCAGTTTTTTTCGTATTATTTATTAGGTTTAACTAATTAGTTAAATGATTAATGGTGTTATACATTTTTCAAAATATTGTCAATATTTTTATAGAACGGTCTGTTATCTTATACAATTTGCGTAATTTTTTCTTAACATAACAAAACACTAAAGCTTATATAAATTTTATTTAATTAAATTTCTACAAAAAGAATAATATTTACTTCTGAGAGATTATCATAACATTATATTCCTTTTGTCTTCTCCCCTAAAACGCTATAGGATTCTAGGTGACATTTAAATTTCGTTCGGTATAGCAAGTTATAATTATTAGCAAAATTTTATTTAATATTTGAATTTTAATAATATGTATTAATTACAATTCACCAGAAAACTATCAAACCAAGTGCGATATCTTATATTTTATTCTATGTAAATTACAAAATATTTTGAATATCTCAAATTGCTGTTGAAAAAATATATTAACTGAAATAATACTATATAATATTATTGAAAACGGTTCCTTTTCCAAAAATTTAATTTAATTTAAAAATACCCAATAAGTTTTACTTGAAATAAAGTTTTTATTAGCTATCTAATGGTTTAGGTGATTTTAAAACAATTTAAAATGATTTTTACTCAAAGAAATATCTTCTCATTTAACATTTTTGTTTTGTTTTGAAAAAATGTCGTTCTAAATCCATAACTATATAAATGTGTCTTAACTCTTAATAAAATAATTAATAATACAATTTCAAAAATCTAATTTAGTATATAAATTATTATTGAATGATAATTTTTAAAGAATAATTTTAATAATATTTCAAAAAAATATAAGTCCACTAATTAAATTTGAAAACAAAAAAATGTCTTAATTTAATGTTTTGTAAAACTGTGACAACATAATATTAAATATTAATATAACTCGAATAAAATTATATTGTAAATACTGTGATATTATCTATGAAAAACTATAAATCGAAAATAATTCAACGATAAATGTTTGAATTTTTCACGATATGGAAATGTTAAATTTTTAAATTATGAAACATTGTAAATATAAATTGTTGAGTTTCCAATATCGCTTTGTTAATTTAGAGTTAATTATTTTAAATACACTAAATTTTACGCAACTGTTTTTAGTATTTCCAAAAAATTACACTATAGGTAGACTGACTGCGTGATACGTTAATGGATACTTTAGAGAATATTATATATAATTTTCCAATTACAAATTCATATTGAAAAGTTTTAATATCACTATTAAATACTATACTTATTATATTAATTGAACCCAAATCAAAGATTTCTATTTTATTCTAAATCAAATTGTTAATAAAAAAATATATATCAGTATATTAATATTATACATTAAGAATGTATAATATTAGGTAATACTCATTTGGAATCATTTTCAATGAACCACGCCATGATATTTCATATTACCTACAGAGCGACAATGTCTTGGTTAAGGTTCATAAGGGAGGAGGATGACCATATGACTGTTATACAATTCTTTCATAAATATTTTATAATATTATTATGCATAAAAATGAATACGGTATACTCTACATTCCTGAAGATTATTTCTTATTTCTGAACCGATTTAACGGCTTCTAGTAAAAATCTCATGTACAAAACAGGATACGTTAAAAAATATGTCGTTTTTACAGCTGATTATATTACTCCCCTAGGACGATTTTTGACTCAATGATACAGGCCGCTGGGTTCATGTTCGTGACCCCAAACAATAGGTACTCTACTGGCCAAACACCTAACCGTATATACATAATAATACGACGACGGCGGCGGCAACGGTGGATGTAATCATAATGATGATGACGACGGCAACGGCGATAATAATAATGTTAATATTATATTATATTATAAAAAAAAAACATATAATGGTAGCCCAGTAAAATGTTTATCATGTGCGAGATCACGTATCGTGTCTCTTGTAGAGTATACGTGTAGAAGAGTGCTATGCTGTTCGCCACCTACACAGAAGGCGGCCGCTTTTAAAAGTCTCTGTATTGATGAATAGGGGATCACTGCCGGAATAATATCAACGAATTTTCCCTTTCTGCCTCACAATTTCGGAAACGCAACTTTTTGCCAATTTTATGCTGTCACACGTCTACCGCAGGAAACAATAGCCTGGGCAAGTAAACGGGCACAACAAGTTAGAAAATCGTAAAAATTCTCTTTTTAATAAAATATTTTTACTGTCACCAAACTACCATAATACTCTAACCAGCTGCCCACAAGGTACGACCGAAGCGAATAAATTTTTACACAAACGTGTGTTGGAAGATAACCGGGAATTAGATTAATCGATACACGAGAGCTTTAGGGAGGTTATTGACATGACCGGGTTGTGTATGGCTTCGGAAAGCGCGAAATTGATACGGTGCTCGTTATTAATCCTTATACGCTACCCACCCTGCACTCGATTGTGGGGTATTACTATCCACTATAAGAATATATGTACAGTCTAAAGGTATATGAACGAATTTAGTGATTTCAGCGTTACGTCACTATGCTTGATGTGCTTGCGTGTTTCTTTTCATTTAATATTAACGAATAATCGAAATTATTAACCAAGTGTGTAACTTCGTGAATTTTAAGTGTTTCCCGAATATAAAATCAATTTTTATTGCGAATGAGATCTTTCATTTATAATCGATTTGATTTCTTTGTTTCATATTTGGAAACGCCCCATTATGACCTACCCATTGAAATTTAATCTCCATCTATTTGTCTTTTAAGTTGTATATGAAGACGCTTTTGGACTACTTTTCTTAATTTAAAATTATTACTTAAGTCTATCGTGTTATAAGTCGTGCTAAGACAATGTTTTTATTTTGTTTTGCAAACTATTACATTTTTTATGAACTGAAAATTTGATCTTGATGCATTACCCAACCATCACATACCTTATTATTTTAATAAAATAGTGCGTTTGGTTTTTATTAGCCTATTAGTAGATTATTAACTTATCCTTTTGCATTTTATCGTTAAAAATTGTAAAAGAAATTTTCCTTTGATAAATGCCCTCATTTTTCGTTAGCATACAATTCGGTGTATCCATGTATAATGGTATCTTTCATTATATTCTAGGGAACTAAAATTTTAGAAATTCAATTATACTAAACTAAAAAATAAGAAAAATTTATGTTTTACATTATATATCTTTTAATAAAACTACGAGCAATAATTTCATAATCTTAAAAAATAATTTTATAATTTAATATTCTTTAACTTTGATACAAATATCTTATTTGTATATATTATTTGACATAAATCAGTAAATTTTATATTATTAAAATAAACTCCACAAACTCTAAAAATCTATTTTGATGACTTCGTCTCTACCTTTTGAGAAAAAGTATATGAATCTCATCTATTGTTTTTTTTAACTACTGTATCGATTTTTTTTATATAAAATATTTTTATTGATAACGAAAATAAACAAAAAAAGAAAATTTGCAATTACAATTATTTAAAAACTTTAATTTTTTTTTATTTTAAGGAAAATAACTAATTATTTGATTTTATAATTTCTTGTTACCAATAGTTTTAAAACATCACATAATTAAATAATTGAATCGGGATAAATGTTATTACGAGTTATATATAATAATATAATATAATATATTATATTATGTTATGTTATAATTATTGTAAAAGTTTATAGTTATAACTTATTACTCTTATGTGGATTATCATATCAACGTTATAAGATATACAAGACAGTTTATATTAATTTATATTAATTATTTATGTACGAAATTCTTTTAAATAAATTGTTTCCATTTATAAGGTTTGGTTTAAAAACCGGAGAGCCAAATGCCGCCAGCAGGTGAAGCAAAATCAACAACAACACCAAAATGGAACGGAAAAGACTTCATCGAGAAATTCCGGTAGTCACCACCAGCAGTCAGGCGGTGGAAACGGATCGTCTGGTCTAAAATCATCAAAGTCTATCAATAACGGTCCACCAGCCGGTAATGGTGGGGTGGTGTCGTCTACAGTCAACAAGATGTCACCATCTAACGTGTTGTCTAACAACGGCGTAGTTAATGGAGCCGGCGGCGGTGGTGCTGGTGGTAGTGTTGGCGGTGATATCTCCATCATTACTAGTTCAGCTGATAACTCGCCGGTAACGGGTACATCGCTGACCACGACGCCACTTCACCGAGAATCGCCCGGTTGCACTTACATCAAACCTATATTGAGTGGTACCCCGCCCATATCTTCTGTTTATTCAAGTTCCGGTGAGTATCGATAGAATGATCAATTGATTTGTGTACTTTGTCCAGAATTTCATTGTTATTAATTTTAGGAGGAAATACACCGGGATCGATTTGGAGTCCTGCTATTACTGAACCGTGTTTGGACCTGCACCATAGGTCACCAGCGGGTTCAGTTAGTGGTTACTCGACTAATGGTAGTGGTGGAAGTATTAACAGTACGGGCAGTAATTGTTATTCTTCTGGTGCGCCGGCGCCCCACCACCATCATCATCATCAACACCATCATCCTTCAGCGCACCATCACACGCATCATCAAAACTACGGCGGATATTATTCAAATATGGACTATTTAACACCAGCTATGTCTCACCAAACTTCTGTAAGTATAATTCTGAAATAAAAAATCCAATGCATGTGCTCTTATTTTTAAACATTCAAGATTAGTGTCAAAACATTAATAGTCTTCTTCTTTTTCCTCGCCTTTATTCCACCTATTTGAGGTCGGCCACCCTTATCCTAAACTTCCACTTAGCACAATCTTCTACATCAACTACGCTCACATCAGCTGTCCTCATATCACATTCAATAATATTCCTCTATCTCCTCTTCCTTCACATTAATTCCTATAACTGTTCTTACAGCTTCCGGATTCCTCTCTATAACATGAGTGAACCAAGTCTATTTTCTCTCATCTTATCCACGATTGACTCTGCACCTATATTTCATCTTACATATTTGTTCCTTATCCTATCTACTCTAGTCATTCCACTCAAATACATATCTAAGCATTATCATATCTGATTAAACTTAAACATTGATGTCATATATTTATAGTTAATCCGTATGAATTATTCGTACAAAGATTATAATTTTTATTTAAGCTATCTAAATAATATAACAAAAATTAGCTAATGCAATTCGTTTTTATTTGTAATTTTTATGATTGTTATTTTAATTTATAATTATTTATATAGTTTTACCTATAAAAACCAGTAATACCAATAATGTTTATTATAGTTATATAACAAAGCATTCAACTAAAGAGTATTTGTTTAAGAAAATTGTTATTCCTAATGCACTACTTTTTTCACTTAAAATAAAATAAAACGGTTATCTGAAAATAACTAAATTTATAAGTGGGATTTAATTTCGTTGAATTTTTTTCTATTCATGTCATTGAATAATACTAAGATTTAATTATAACTTGCAGGAAAATGGTTCAGAACCAGGTTGGGTAAAGAGAGAAGATCCATCATGGTTTTACAATTCAGGTGGATGGGAAAGAAAATAAAAATGCCACTGAATATAGACAACTCCTTAAATAAAATCTGATACTAAATGATTTTTGATGGCCGACGTATGTTGAAGGATTATTTGAAATAATAGCAGTTACAATAATTTAAGACTAACAAATTGTTATTTCGACTATTATTGTTTACATTTTGCGAAAAATCTTAGTGATCTCTATGTAAGATAAATTCAATGTAAAACTAATATTGCTTTAGTACATACCTTTGTTTTCACCTTTTGATTAATGTTACTATTACTCCTAAAAATATTTTTAAAAAGTAACAGAAATACTTAAAAAACAAGTGAAAAAATAATTCAAAACTTTTGAAGTTAATTTTATTTTTATTGCTATCAGCGATTTTGAATTGGATTATTGTAAATATTCCGTTATCTAAATTTATTTGTATGCATTTATTGTACATAATACTTTAAACGGATTATATTTTTGAAAAAGCAAGATTATTAACGTCTTATGAATATTTACGTCGAACATTGGTAAAAGTTGTATGAATATAAAAAAATTTAGTAAAATAATATGATTGTTATTACGAATTGTGTGTATTCTGTTCTGAGAATGTGTATAATAATTTGCATACTCTTACCCCGTGATTTAAATGTGAATAAAGTTGTAATGTATTTGTATCTAATTTTTTGGTTGTAAAACATTAATTTACGTTTCTTACTTGAAAATTGAATGCATTTTACTGCAAAAAAGAATTCTAGTATTATTTATATGAACTGTAACTATGATAATATTATAATAATACTAATTTATATTGAAATGATTAGTTGATAAGTGTACATTAATTTCTAGTTAATTTGTAAGTTTTTAATTTGATTTATTTACTATTGAGTAGATCTTTTTGTTTAAAAACGTACTGTGTTCCAAAACATCGTTTTCCGAATAGTTTTATTATAACATACTGTATTGTACATTTTATACATATTATATATATAAATATATACAGAAAAAGAGAAATCAATATAAAAAATCTTAAGATAATGACATTATGTTGAATAATTTTTTTTTAACTTCTTTTGTAATATACCTTAACATTAATTTCTCGTCTGAAGGAAAAACAGCAAAATTTAGAATTTTAAAAAAGTAGATATGTACCCACTTGCGTTACAAATCCATATTATGTATTAAAATACTTCTAACTCAGTAATTAATTGTCCTAATCGATTCATCCAAAATTTTTGTTAGAAAAAGGCTAAACAATAGCTATTTTTTAATTTAAAAATTAGTTAACATTACTGTTTTATTATTTTCACGCAAAAAAAAGCGTGGAACATCAACCATGAAAATGATTGGAGCTTTTCATCTACATATACATCATATATCAATGACTTTGAAATGAAATCTTTATTTGGAATCTTAAATATGACGGTTGACTAAGACTAAATTTTACTTATTTTAATATCTGTTTAATATTATTATAATTACATTATTATTATTTTTAATTGAATTAATATATATTTATAAATTACTTTCAAGTAATACAGATGATAAGATGAAATATTATTATAAGTACCTATTAGTTATAAAGATACTAGTAATAATTGATTTTATAAACATTCATCCGTAATTAACATATAAATAAAAAGAGAAAAAATCAATGTTTATGGAAATAAAATAACTAATTGATATAATGTATACATTTTATAAATGTTCTCATATTGGAAGGGTTTATGCCAACAGGGGCAGATCTATTTGCTTGCGTAATATCCGTAATGCCATTTCATTTTTTACAACGGTACATACGATTTGATGATTTTTGTTGACGTGCTGAAAGAAAATGAACAAATCAAATTACACATATTCGGTGGCTTCGGAAACTTTGTTAACTGTATAATTCATATTCGTTATCTGAATATGCATGTGTTAATGAAAAGGCCTAATCATTTGTGGATGTGCATTTCGGCAATATATTCTAAGTAAACCGACAATATACTGAATAAAAATTTTTGCTTAAGAGGACACCACACCGCGATAATTTTAGGCTTAAAAACTATCAAAAGTATAATATTTATTACACGGTCTAAAGCGTTCGTAGAAATTTGAAATTTTTTGGATATTTAAATAACAATATTTTGAAATGTTTGTAATGGGATTTTTTTTTCTTAAGATTTATATTCTAGCCGTAACATTTTTGTAAAGATACAAGTTTTTTTTTTTTTAAACTTAAACAGTTTATTTATGAATAGTGATATCTTAAAAAGCCCATTACAAACATTTTAAAATGTTACATTCTTCGCCTTCTCGAAATTTCAAAACTCTAGGATGAAATCTAACAGGATATGATCAATTATAAGTCAAACTTAAAAATGAAGAATAAATGTAAACTGCGCTTTTTAGTCGACTAAAAAGCGCGAGTGGACAAAAATCGTACCACAAGCAGCGAGTTGTCGTCAGTGACCGTGGCGTTATCTTAATGACCCATTATAGTGACATTTTCAATTCTCCGAAAAATAGAAATATTTATTTATATGCCACAGTAAAACATTATTTGATTTTGCAATCATCAATTCTGTCTATCGATAATATCGAGATGTATAAAAATTTCCTTCCTGATCTAATACAGTTACGGTGTTTTGTAGTGAAGGTACTTGGCACGCTCAGATTTCGATAAATTTCTTTTTATTTGAAAGCTCTACAAGGACACCGTAGAAATTATTCACGTAAGCTATCGCGGTTTTGCGGTGAGCTTTTGAAGTCACAACGTCTTTAATGAAAACGCTTACAGTCACTAATGAATTACGATTTAATATTAGTTCTTATTGGACCAATATTTTTGTATAATACATCAAAAGATTCCAAATTATACCTAGTTAAAAATATAACACACAAATATTCAAAAAACTACCTTCAAGATTTTTTATTTAATTTTTTTAAGTATAAATATCTCAAAATAAATCGAGAATTACAAGTAACTAAAAGAAATCAAACTTCACTTTTTCACAATTTTATTTATATTACGAGTAATCAAGTGGTTTATGATAAACTGATCACCNATCCAATAGGTACAGGTAGTGTACACATTACCCGGATAATGTGAACACTAACCATATTTTGTACTTTACCCGTAACATATACAAAATGATTAATTAAAGATAAAACACTAATTTTTTTCGCTAACTATGGAAAAATTTTTAATTTAAAATATTGTTTAATTCAAAAAACTCTACTATAATATGTAGTAAAAATATGATATTTTTCATCCCTAATTTAAAAAACATTAACTTGAGTTTTCTTCGATGGGAACCCCTATTTTGAATTTGATATTATGATTGAAAAAAAAACCCAGCAAAGTGGGGTGGGGGCATAGTTGGATCCAGTATATATGATATCTGATAGTGATTAAAATCACTATCATAAAAAACATTTGGATGCAAATCGGTAGACAGTGTTTCATTTTAAAAAATTAATAGATTATTCCAAAAGCTACATGATCTCCCATTTTATTATTTACATACTGATTATAAGTTTTATGATTTATAAAAAATAATATATGATTAAAAAATAAAAATTAAAAAATATATATACAGTCAGTGCTCGAATTGGCCAAAAATAAGTAGGGGAGCTCAACTTAACAATTTGAAAACTGCGTCCCTAGAATTTTGAAGACTTTTTTTTTTTTTTTTACTCATTACTTTATTTAGTATTTAAAAAAAAAAAAAAGAGGTGGTATTTTCCACCGTCCTCATAAAAAAAAGTAGTTTGGGTGCGCAAAAAAATTTTAAAAAACGTAGAGGAGCTACGTCCCCCTGCGCACCACCACCCCCCCCCTCCGCCCAATTCGAGCACTGTATACAGTAGCGTCATTTGGGGGGGGGGCATTTGCCCCATCATTGATTTATAAGGGCCGGTCAAATTTTCGGTACGTGAGGCCGCTGAAATGGCGGCTCAGCTCATAGTGGGCCACTTGTCTAGGACTCATAACAGTAGATGGTTACATTTTTAAGAAACTCAGAAACATTAGTAGAATATAAAATTAGTAATGCTAATTTGCAATATGAATTATATATTGATGATATATTTGTCACGACTTTTAATTCTAGCATAATACTGCTATCACATTGTTTTTATAATAACAAAAAAAAGCGTAACCGTCGGCGAAATTTAAAAACGTGTCACGGCTCTTTCAGCCTCCCTACCGCTTCTATCTTCTATTATCATATGACTAGTACCATAGATTAAATACACATAGATAGACCACGCCGTACACAATTTTGGCAGTCCAATTTTTATCATGAATGGACGCAGGGAAACGATGTGCTGGACGCAGGCGATTATGCTGATAGATAGCGTAAATTTTGAGTGCTTCTATTGGTTAAAATATACGTGGTATTTTAAATCTTTAATAATAATTAAATGAATGNATTAAATGAATGTATGATGCACATAATTAAACTGTTATTGTTATGCACGTTAATTGCATTTTATGACATAATGTAAGGTTATTTATGATTTTAACTCTTTGTAATTATTTTTCATTGAAATATTATTTAATTTTTTATTTTAATACTATACTAAGAATCCTTAACAGAACTTTGATATAAAATGTGGTATTACAGTACAAGACTAAACTTTTAGTCTCTAAATATTTTTATAAATTATTTTAAACAGAAAGCAGTGGCAGATAAATTACTTTGTAATTAGGATGAGTTGAAAAATATGCATAAATGGCTTTCTTTTTATTAAGTCCGCTTCAAATATTTCATTTATTTTAGAATAGTATCCCATTAAATTTACCTACGTCTGCGGTAATCAATTGAAAACAAATTTTTCAGGGATGCCAAATAATAATTGGTAAACTGGGTGTTCGAAGTCCATTTGACAACGCGGATAAGTGTTGTCAGGAAGAGTCAAAGTAATAACTAATTATAATATAACATTCACTGATAGAACACTGACCACTGAGAAGATGGTCAAGGCTCCTTTTATATTTACATTTTTCATTAAATAATCATTAAAATATTAACACTATAATACTTTATAGTAATTATAATGTTGCATATAAATTACTTAAAACTAAAATTTACAAAATAATTATGGGTTCACGACACCATCGCCCTTAAAGAGAAATAATATCTAAAATATTATTTCAAAAATTTTAATACATAACACATTTGAGTCACAATAGGATACACAGCAAACTGATATAAGTTAATACAAAACAATAATACATAGAATAAATAATTTATAGTGTTTTCATACATATAAACATGTAACATATTTTAAATAACATAAATACATAAAATAACCTATTTTGAAATCATGTATTATAAATTCTAAACATTCTGAAATTATGAAAAATATAAAATTTGTTAAAATAAGATATCTGATACTTTGCTTTTAATTTAATTTTTACTTAAAATTATGTTTCTAATCTAATTAATTTAACAAGCCAGTAATACGATACTCAAACATGATTTTGCATGTTTATACATTTTTTTTTTAAATAATAAGCACTATTTTTGTATCTAGCTTTTCTGAAAGGTGTAATTTCATTTTATTCATAAACATAACTTTATAATTTTTTACGAATACATTTATTATGTATCATTTTTTCCACTTAACATAGCATATAGTTAAGATAGCATAATGACTCAAATAAGTATTAACTTATTGGTTCATTCTTTTTTGTAGGTATTGAGTAAATTCTATACTAGTGCCTTTTTAAAAAATATCGTTAATAAATATTTCTGACATGGTAAAAATAATTCAGATTATTTAATCTTTTATATAACTCTTTTTTTGAACAATTAATTTATAATTTTTATGAAAATAAAAAAAGAGTATAAAACAAATCAAAAAAATATTTATTAACAGACAAAACATAATATATATATTCCTTTATAAAATTTAGAATTCTAGACGAGTTCCATGGACTATTTGACTTTTCAATGGTACCTTGTTTTAAAAGATTTTTTAATTGTTTATCAACTTCCTCGTTATGACACATAGGGTATCAATTGTTTTATATGAATTGGATGAGCATT